TTATCCATCTTGGGAATTCACTCCCTCGTCCCAGGTGGGCCACGTGGCCTCATCCCTCGTGGTTTCTCTCCCCTCCCCCCATGTTCTTCTCCGGGGCGGCCCCTTGTCATCTCTCCTCAAAGGATTTGGAAGCAATATCGTCATCTCCTTCCTAAAATCAGAAGAGGGAAATGCTGAAACTAGTCCCCTTTTGGTTTTTGTTAACTGAGCTTCACCTCGGTGGTCTGGAGGAGAACCCCGGGGTAAGGTGTGGCACTGCCCAGAGGACCGGGCGTCTGGCAGAATTCGAGGCGCAGAGCACTAGAGCGTAAGAGACCAGCGAGACCTCCCGGCTGGTTCATTTCGTGCTGCTGCCCTGTGTGAGTGAGCGCTACCGGAAACCGGCTTGCGACACTCACCAACGTGAGCAATAGGGCCAAGGAAGGACTTCCAGCGACCGTGAGTTCCCGCTACCCGCCCGTGGCAGGTGTAGCCCTGGGGGCCTGAGTGGCAGGGCCGAGTAAAGAATCAGCCCCCGCCGTGGCGATGCACCCTCTCATCCACTGTGCACGGTGTCTTTAAACCAAGAGAGACCCCGTTAGACTCGTGTCATTAAAATTCAATTTTAAAAATTATGCGGAGATAAAATACTGGATGTTTTCTGAAGTGGATGTGATTAGGCAGTCATGTCGATTTCATCTTAAGGAAAAGGTCATATTTATAATTGAGATTTCACCGAGAACACTGGGAAATGCTATTGAAGGGTTGCAATGTATCTTTTATTGACATATTAGGAACATCTGAAGAGTTTCATTACATGAATTTCGATACGTCGTCAGCTGGAGACTGGGCCACGGCGCCGTGGAGAGCCAGGTCGGGCAGCGCACGGCACGTCAGCGGCGCCGACACACAGAGGAGGTCGGACACCACCCACGTTCGCAGGTTTCGCTCACCCAATGAAGTTCTAAGAGAATCGACAGTGGTTTTTGTTGTTGTTTCTAAAAAAGTATTTTCGGATTGTCTAGAGATTAAATGAAAGTTCCGGACTTTAAATTTCAGGCTCACATTGGGCAATGTATTTTGTTAAACAGTCCACAGAATCTTAAGTAGATGGATTATTGAAACTACAGTTTGCAGCTAATTTATAGAGTGACTCTAGGATTCCGAAAGGACAAGCTAACCTCTGGTCTAGGAAGCATGTTTGGATCTAAAATATGCTTTTAAGAAAGCATTCTTGAGAGGTTCACTGACATGGACGAAATTGCTTATTTATGCATAACCCACGATAAAGTGTTTTGGTTGTTGTACTGGTCTAGAGCAGTCTACTTCGGCTAACGCATCACCAAGCAATGACGAGACAGGTGCCGTCCGGATGACTGTCCAGAGAAGGCCAGCGCCAGGACCACGGCTGACGGGCGCAGGTGGCGCCTGGTGGGAGAGCGCCTGGTATTCGGCGTGTGTGCGGCTGACCGCTGCCTGCATCTGGCGTTCGCTAAGCTAATCACGACGCAGGCACCACATTCCCGACTTAGGAGAAATCAGGCTTCCAAATCTCAGCTAAACGTTAGAAAAAATGCTCCTATGCAGTTTCTTGCTATCTCCACGGGTGGATGTTACCAGCAGAGGTTAGTTTTAACTGACACGAACAACAGCTGGAAAAGTACGTAAAACGTGTAGTGTGTGTGTGCACATGTGTGTGCATTTAATGAGCTGCTGGGAACGGTGGCCGTGTGTACGACTCTCTCTTTACTACGTCAGAGAGCGGTGTCTTTGCCTGTGATCGCGGCTACTGAGTACGAGCTGTTCACAACTCAAGGTCCTAAAAAGCGTAGGGCCGTCCACACCAAACCAAGTTCGTGAGCTGGAGATTTCTCTAACTTATGTGCTTTTCTTCTCATTCTCTTTCCTGCCTGCAAAGTACGAGACCATCAGTACTCACGTTTGAGCGTGTTTTCTGAGAATCCCGAAGGTGCGTGCTAGTGTGGACTGGTCTTCTTGCTAGAGCACGATTCAAACTGTGATTAAGTCAGTGGGAGAGTCTGGCTGGCCAGCCAGCACCCACCTCCACGCAGCTTTGTTGCTCCTGACGTGTCTCCACGGCGTACAAAATAGTTTCAGCACGGTGGAGACCACCTGAGGTGACGATGCCCCCAGGAGACACGTGGCCGTGTCTGGGGACGTGTTTGGTGGCCACAGCCGAGGGAGGAGCTACTGCCGTCGAGTGAGCCGGGCCGGAGATGCCGCCAAACATCCCACAACGCACAGGACGGACGGTCCCCACTATGGGAACGGCCCAACCCTAAATGTTGATAGGGCTGAGGTTGAAAAAGAGCCCACCCTCAAGGAAGCATTTAAAAATAAGCACTTTGTTTTGTTTATAACACTTTGGGATATTCAGATAAATTTCCAGCTATATATTTATAGAAATGGTATAACATGTAGGGCTTGTAGTGGCAGAATTTTTTTACTTTATAAGTGAGTTTAGAGACGAATATTTATAAAATCAGTGAGGATCTCGAGGAGATACTTGAAGTTTTCAGCTAGACTTTATTCCACTTTGTGTAAGATATGTGTTGTCTGAGATATTGCTTCAGAGGTCTCAAGAGATAAATCAAAATTAGCTGCCTGTTATCCGGTCACTCTACCCGCGCCAGGCACGGCAGTGGGCACCTCCACACGTGGTGCATTTACCCCTCACGGCGACCTTGCAAGAAAAGCGTCTCCAACTCCATTGCACAGAGCGCGGAGAGGTGCTCAGAGAAATTAAGCTACCGCCCGAGGTCCTACCGCGGGTCAACGGTGAAATCGGGCTGCAAACGCAGACCCGTCGGGGCAGCCTTCGCTCTTTCTCCGACGGGATGACGCCCCCAGGAGCTGCTGAACCCCTTAACCACAGAGCACATATGTGTCATTAACAGGAGAGGAAAAGTGGGAAAACACCCAAGAATATATTCATCTAAAATGTGGCTACAAAATACCAAGTGTGCTGCGTCTCTGCTGCCCTTCTTGAGTTTGTTCAGAGCGGCTTATAAGGATCGTGCAGGCTATCGCTACAAATCTCCTGTTATCTCAATAATTCAGGCAGAGGAGAAGTGAGATTTTTCTCGGATTACCCGGATAACTGAAGGGGAAATGACAGTTTGCGTTCCCTGAAATTTGCAGGCTGCGAAGAGAAACGGTCCCCACTGCTTCCTGCCTGAGAACCACCCACGTCCCCTTTTAATTTCTGCACACCCCACCCCCGGTACTCACTCTGGTTCGGGTAGATCTCAGAGTTTTAAGAATAATCGGGAAATGCTTCTCAGAGGTCTATTCTATACTTGTGTCTAGTCCAACTCCAGATTAGTAACCTCGACTGGTTTCACAAGATCTCAACACAGGGCCTGTGTCCCGTGTCAGGGCAGGGCCTGGGGCAGGTCTCACTTCTGGAGCAAGAGCCGTCTCTAAGGCACCAGCTGTGTGGGCCGTGCGGGTGTGACATTTGGACCCTCGGAGCACACGCAAACCAGCATGGGAGCAAAGTGTGTCACCGGAGGGCTGAACGGCCCCACCCGTGTCTCGCCTGCAGTGCCTGGCAGTCAGGGGCAGGACCCGCCGGCCAGAACCACTTGACGGGGGCTTCTGCGTCTGCCCATCAAACAGAGCCCAGATACCCAGGTTTAGCGGCTGAGGGGCTGGTTTTGAGCTTTTGCACATTCTAACAAAGGTTAAAGCCTCATTCTCCATGTAGGCACTTTATAGATTTATTACAAATAACACACTCCAAACACCACTCTGCGATTTACATTCCTGTTTCCTGTTTGTCTAGTAGAAAACTACTGGCGTCCGCAGCTTAGATCATTGTACTTGCTGCGTCACCTTCAGACCCCAGAGGTTTTCTTCCTTTAGAGAATTTTTAAAATTCATCTCCCAAACCCAATTACCCTGAGCTCTTTTCAAATCGGCCTCTGAAAGCCCGGGGGTT